ACCTGTATTGCGCGGTTCTCTGTTTGCGATGGCCATGAAAATGAAACATCAATTGCGTATACGTGCATCTTATATAAGGTACCGTGATTGCAAACAACAAAACTCAAACGGTTGGGTGACCGAAGATACCTTGTGCTAATAATGTGAGCAATGTCTATGCCCGATACGATACATCATCGGCCATCAGCACTTCAGACGTTAATTGAAAGAGAGGCGACCGTAAAATGTCAATGGTTTTCCTATAGGTACGTAACAAATGTAAATACGCAGGACAATCCCCTAGCTTAGGATAAAATTAAAACGCATAAAACTAAAAACAACCGAGATTTAGTACTTTCGCATGCTTATCCATTTTTAAACTTTCGGATTGTATGATACCATACGTGTTGTCAGCATGTCTTGTAAATTTCCACTTGAAATGCCATTTGATTACCTATGATCCTAAACGGAGTTCGATAAGTTGTGCCGTTGTGAAGCGTTTAAATGGGCAAGAACGGTCAAAATAGTTTTAAAATGCTAAATTGGTTTAGAAAAACGGTCATAAAAATTATAGAATAAAAATGTTTAAAAAGTAGGTTTAGAAACGCCTAAACAACCTAACATTTCCAAAATTGCTCAAATACGTTTTAATGATTATGAAATCATCAAGGTGGTATAAGAGCGCCAAATTATATGATAAAACAGCTCTAAAATGTTCATGAATTGAAAATATGACATTGATAGTTCTAAATAATATTGAAAAGTCGACATATTTTAGGATTTTTTAGAAAAGAAATGTTTCGTTAAGAGGATTGATTTAGTATAAAAATGATTTAAATTCTTTCTATTAAATTGATTGAAAATTTCGGCATCTCAATAATAATTTAAAATATCAGCCGCCAATAGCTTGAGCTAATAACTTATAAGGACTTGTGACCCATATCAGGACAGTCCACGATCGATCCACCGATGGGTCCCAACTAGACTGGCCCACATTTATATAGGAGAATTTTTTATCATTTTTTCAACGGGCCAACCCTCAGATTTGTGCCATTAGGTGAGAAAACCACTCTCTGCACGGCGAATGAGAACGACTCAAATTTGAGTTTAGTTCACTCATAATCGCCAAAAGTGCAGGAACTCAGCGATGAGTTAATTTGCCTCATGTTTTCCCAGGTTTTTCCAGGATTTTCCAGGGAGAAATTCCTGAATTTGAGAAAAGTAAAGATTGCATTCATTCAGTCTATTGGTACTACTAGGAGACTGAATAAAATTTTCGTCAATTTCCTCATTTTCCGGCAGATTTTTTAGGTTTTCCACAGGAAACCATGAGACAAATTTTACTCATCGCTGAGTTCCTGCACTTTTGGCGATTATGAGTGAACTAAACTCAAATTTGAGTCGTTCTCATTCGCCGTGTGACAATTTCAGCTCATTCGGATGAAAAACGACATGGGGATGTTTGATGAAATGTACTAGGAGAAGTGACATTTCTATACTCTTTCGGACTTATAATTGGTTCAGGAATCTCGATTAAACTCAGAATTTTAGCACATGTAGTTTGAACTATAAGGAATAGCCTTGCTCAAAACAGCATTAAAATTAAAATTAGTATTATGGACACCCAGTGTTGGTAAAATCATCAATCAAATTATATTTTCACGCTCTCTTACGGTCTTAATATCACGCGTGATATTGGAACAAAATATCATGCTTGATATTGATTTTACAAGCTCTTTGATATTGCGAGACTATTCACAACATGTTAAAATCAAGCTGATAGTTGACTCGACACAAAAAGAAACCTAGTCTTAAACAATTTCAAACTAGGGAACAACGAATAGAATATTAGGAATCACATAGAAGAAGACTAACTAACTCATTTTTTCCTTGTTTCAAGATCATCCTCGGTCCAGGCAACCCGAGGACTTATCACTATCAACAAGGAATAAAAAGTAGCAAGGACTAAGATGTGTTCCTTTGATTACTGAAAAATCCTGTTCCCCTAGTTTGAAGTAGTCTTGACTAGGAATTGGTGGTAGATCTTACATACCGTAACGTACCACGAAAAGATGATCTACCCACGTAACGGGGCAGCGTGACTGCTTTCTCACCCCAATGGGTCTGGGTTCATTCCCAGCTGAGGTCAGTGGTATTCTTCTGAGGCATAAAAATCTCTGGTCACGTCTTCCTTCGGAAGGGAAGTAAAGCCGTTGGTCCCGGCCCATGTGTGTTTGAATGGGTGCGATATCCTACGCAGGTGTGGAAGCTGCCTTCCTGCACATTCGATTGCCGTCAATGGATGGCAATCGATGTCCGTCGGTGATTGGCACTAGATTGCGGAATAGAGACCGATGATAAATAAAGGAAATAAGAAGAAGAAGAAGAAGAAGAAGATGGTTTGGTTAGAATTGTAGTTGGAAAGTTTTGTTACCTTCATATATATAGCACCGATATCACAGCCTGCAATATCATCCGCAGTTGATTGCTTGTTCATTTGTCTCTATGAATGCGTGATTTTTGGTATTGGTGACATTTGATTTTTTGATATTTTACCAACACTGATGGAGATATTCATTCTTGACTTTATATGAGCATTTTGTTTGATTACCACTAAAAAATAAAAGTTTATATTCTCCACATGCCAACATCCAGAGTCATGTATTTAGGTGAGATAACCGCTCTTTGAATGTTTTAGCTGTTTTTAACATGGGCTGGCGCTTTTGGTTTAATGGCGCATATCTCAATAAAAGTAACTGATCTTCGGCAAATGTGTTAGTCATTGTTTGAACTACGAGTTTTGAAAATCTGAACCGATTCGAGAATAAATAAACTGAGTGAAAAAGTGTATAGGTGTCATTTTTTCATGTATTTAATCCAAATTCACCATTCCAAATTAAAAAAAAAGCGCATCGGTTTTCAGCAATAAATCACAATATTTATATAAATAAAAAGTTCACTTAAAATTAAGATTCGCAAGAAAAGCACTTATACATGATTAAAACACCCACCTATCGATAGCTTAGGCTCACGCCTTCCATATGAAGTATGTATCGAAATATGTTATCAGGGGGTGTAGAACATTTTTGTACGTAGCATTACGTCTTTCGGCAACATATTGGGGGTGCAATTAAAAAAAGAAGCAAAATCGACCGTGTTACGAAAAGTGGTCAGGTTTTGACCATGGACTGCAGTTATAACTCTGTCAACAGCGGATGGATTTTAATTCTAAACAATCCAATCAAAAATTGATCAGAAATTCAATCAATAATTTTTTGCTTTTTTTAATTATCTGTTGAATAAACCAAAAAATCCGTGCGTTTTGTACGCGAAAATGCATGCTATCTTGGTGCCATGATCTCTCGACATTCTGCGTTCGCTTGACGCAACAAGCATTCAAGATCGTTTTTTCCTGAATTATTATTATTTATTATTTATCTTTATTAGGGAGGCTTTCAGCCTTGGGCTGGTTCGCCTCCACGACTTTTCCTGAATGTAAGAAGTGAAACTTATACACTTATTTCTGTTTTTACGCGATTTTTATTTGTTCGATATTGTTCTCATTTAAAATAAGTACCTACATACATTACAATACGGATTTTTTTTCTTTGATTTATTTCTGATAGGAACTTCCAGAAAATCAAAGGATATTTGTGAGAGGCGGAATTTACATCCATGTATCAGCTTAAGATGGATCAAGTTTGCATGGTGGATGACAACTCTCTGTTCCCCATAATTCTTTTGATTTTTAATGAGGTTCTCGACATCTGTGTCAAATTTGTGTGCACCGCTTGAACCTATCTGGCGTATGTGAGATCAGCGAGCTTGCGCTTGGTATACACCTTTATAAATGCTGAATGCTGATGTGTAATTTACTGGAAAAAGCTCAGCTTTGAAATGATATGCTTAGTTTTTAAATTGATGGAGCTAAGCTTAAAAAAAACTTTTTTTTTCGAAAACATCCAATATGTCAACTATTTTTAATATGGCCGCTGAAAATTCTAAACATGTCAAATTAAAGCCCTGACGTATCCCTTTCGAACGGTAATTTGTAAAGTAATTAAAGTAATTTTTAAAGATATATTAATTAAAATCATCCAATAAACTGCAAAAAAAAAAACTAGTGGGCCGGTTTCAACGAGAATGATTCAATTATTTTGATCTACAACTCTAAAAAAAAGTTTTATATTTAATTGCTTTACTACATAGATGATTGATTAGTTTATGTTATGAGTACCTGCTTTAAGTCTATCATGTTCATCACGTGACATGAGCATCAGATTTGTCATTGTCTTCATACTTGATTCTTCATGGTTGTTTATTCTTAAAATGATCACTGTGATCAAATATGCACCGTACATGCGTTCATGGTGCATGTAATGCATAACTACCTACATTGCAGAAACTGATTGAAAACCCATCGTCCTTCGAGTGTCTGCAAATGATCTTGAAAAGTTCATTCGCATGATCAGGTTTGTAATGTGGCGTGTTGCTGATAAATATCCACCTTCGTGCACGTGAAAATGAACTCACCCAGAACAGTCTAAATGTGAAAAGTTGTTTCCAGTCTGTCGCAAGAACCAAACAGCCTCAACCAAAGCCGGTGCATTACGATGCCTAATGCCGTGAATCGTTCAACTTATGCTTCCATACCTGTACCTAGTAGCGCTGATTGGCTTGTTTTCAGTATGACGCTTTGGCGAGCGGTCCATTTGACATTGGCAGCAAATATCAACTTTGCAAACGAATGCTAAGCTAGCTGCAGGGCCATAATTAGCTGAGCCAGCGTAAAAGTTATAGTTTCTTTCCATTTTGCAAGCTTTGCCGTACTTGAAAAACCTATTGATTTGAAACGCTAAGCAAGAATCTTTTAAGTACCGTCAATACATTATTCTGCAATATCCTTTCATGTTGTACTGCTTATAATTCGAATGATGCTGGGGCCAAAGTCAACTAATTTAAATTAGTCACATTTTGCTATGACAGATTAGTGGAGTAATACATTTTCGATTTATTTACAGATAAACGACGTGTGGAACGAGTTCGTACAGCAAACAGAAAAGAGATTCATCATGCAACCAACCAACCAGTAGCAACACATAATCGGAAGATAAAGTGCAAATCACTGCGGAGTCCTCCTAGGAACACATTGTAAGTATTGGCATCTTCACGAACGTACTGTTTTAAATTGATTTCTTATGTATCATTGTTTTCAAAACTAAGATTTGGTTTATTTGTTGTCCATGAATTCCGGATGTTAGAAAGTATCTGCTTACATACATATGGAATGTGACGTAAGTAGTTTAAAGCTTTCTAAGGGTTAGAATGGTGATAACTTTGACAAAGTTGGTTAATTAGACATTACTACCGTTAGTTTAGATTTACATGAATTGGAGTTATGACTTGTCATGCAATATTTAAAATATTGTATGAAATCGTGCATCTTGGAATTGTTATGGCATTTTAAAGGTTATTTCAGTGTTTTCATGACTTGTTTTAAACGCTGCTTCCGCGTGTTGAAGCTGTTTTTGTGACTTTATACTATTGTGGCAATTGTGGAAGATGCAGAGGTAAACTCGGTCTCTAGTAACCACGATTGTTGAACTAATCATCCTTCCTCTCCCAAAGACCGTGAGGACGTGGCTGGTGTCGGTACTGATTTATAATTATAATGAATCAGTGAACTTGTACATTAAAGATGGAAATCTTATCTCTAGCTCGAACTATATGGTTCACTGTGCAATTTCACTGGTTCTGATCAGTAACGGAGTAGCAACTACAACAAACACGGTATTAAACAAAATATAATAATTTGAAATTCAAGTCGTTTTAATAAGAAAAACTTAATAAAACCAAAGGATCGTTACTGCAGTTCAATTTTGAAATTTAGAGAAAATTTGCATGACATTAAAAAAAATATTACCATGTGAAATTGTCTGAATTGCTGCGACCCACCTGAGCTTGTGACTAACCGATTGCGAAACGCTGACCTAGAATATGAATTAACCGTTTTTATGCACACCTAGATTTCCTTGAGTTAGAAATTAGAAAATAAAACATATGCTTTCCTAATCCCGAAAAATCGACTACACTAACGTTTGACTAAAAAAATGGCCTACAGTTATAACTACGACAAAAAACAAAGCGCCGCCGGTGGTGTAGTGGTAAGCGTGGTGACTTCTCATCCCAGCAGGCCTGGGTTCAATCCCCAGCGCCGTCGGGATGTTCTGAGGCATACAATTTCTGATCACGCCTTCCTTCGGAAGGGATTACTTCTTTACTAGCCGTTGGTCCCCGGTTCATGAGTTGATGGGTCGATAGGCAGGGTCCAGGTGTGAGAGCTGCCTCCCTGGCGTCGGTAGCATTGGTGCTCAGCACGGAAAATAAGATCGACGGAAAACAAATCAAGAAAAAAAAAACAAAAACTTAGATATATTTGAGAACATTACCAAATATTTCCAAATATCAACTAAAATATTTGAGTATTTAAAAAGAGCTTTTTGTGATGAACAATGTTTATTCTACGGATACTTTTGATTTTAAGTCTAAGTCAAGAAAATGAAAATATCAAAACATATTTTTAATATATATTAAGTCAACGTGTCCCGCCCCTGGAACTACGATTACAATTTGATCTATTACACGTAACATTCGGTAACTAAATTTCATATGTCAAAGTTAAGGGATAAGGAATAAATTTTGACAACCCCTAGGACCCCTAGGACTACTGATTTTTTTTCACAATTTTCATTCTTGCATTTATCGAAAGGATCCGATTCTAATTGAAAGGTTCCGCTCTTTATACCCTTCGGAGTGTTGAAACACTGTCCAAAGGCGCGCCCCTTTGTCAATCAAAATTGAATTCCTTAGCAACAAAATTAAGGAATGACGCCGATAATGACCATGCATAAGAACCCTAGTCTTAACCACTTCAAACTAGAGAACAATGCATAGAAGATTAGGAATCACATAGATGAAGACTAACTAACTCATTTTTACCTTGTTTCAAGATCATTCTCGGTGGACAAAGCTAAGTCTTGTCACTATCAACAAGGCATAAAAAGTAACGCCCTGTGACGTACCACGAAAAGGTGAACAACCCACGCTACGGGCTGGATTTTTTCCTCATCACCTTTGATTTGCTTTTGCAAAATTCAACCATATGCGTTCCCGATGTTATTATGTTCGTTATGCTTCGTCACTCATTCTCCGTCTCCGCTAAACAAATTGATTCTCTTGAATCTGGAATGATATAAAGAGGACCGAAGCATTTCTGGGATATTCCATGACGCTTAGACAGGTGCCATTGGATGCAAGCTAAATAATTTTGAAACATTTAAGCAGACCACTATGTGGATAATTATTCAGCCAGCTCGGCAGACTGAACGCGCAAATCTCGAGAGCCTCCTTGAATCATCCAATGTTGTAGCGCGTACAAGGTTTCGCAGAGTAGCACCGAAACCGGTAGTACATCGCTGAGAATATCTTTGAAAGTTTAAGGTCAGCATCTTTTCTATGAATGGTCCGCATAAGGGAAAAACAATCTTTCTTTTGTGTGTGTACTTTGAGGAAGTTTATGCGTCAACTATGATTTAAAACTCAGTCATCTTACTCAGTGTGCAGTGTTATTCACGGCATTCTTTTTTCGGGGTAGTCCAGTTTAAGTTGCAAATTACAATAAAACAAGTAGAACAGTGCATTGCTATAAAAAATTAATAGGTTTTTGTTTTATCTTTTCGTAGACAAAAGCTCATGATTTTATACAGAAGAGTTACTCAATGTTTTGGAGTCAAAAATCGATTCGAATTTATGATCCAGTGGTTCTCAGTTATTCGTTGATTGCGACCTACAGAAATTTCATAAAGTCGCACACACGTCATGCACACTTTTTAAACTGCATAACAATGCAGAAAATAGACAGTGTAGGGATCCCATAAATTTCCTCAACAGTCACCCTTTTTCCACTCACATTTTGTAATCCTTAAGGAAATTTGCATTATTGGAAAGAAAACTTGAGAGAAGGAGAGAGCACTTTGAGAAAATTACATGCTATTTTATTACTAAAGCTGAGACTGAAAAGCACCTTGGGCGCTTCAGAGACGATTATAAAGTCGTAAGAAGTGTTGTCTTGTAGGATGTCCTGATTTAAGACACAATTCCGTAGAGCATTGTTGGACCTCATAACATCATGTGTGATACATTCTTCTTCTTTTAGGCGTTTTAAGCTTCTGTAGCGAACGTCTTGCTGGCTCTCAACTTAGTGTTCTAGATGCACTTGCACAGTTATTATTTGAGAGCTTTCTATGCCAACATCATATCCTTGACTCTCTTAATCATCATGAAGTTCATATCTTCATGATCTACAGACAGGGCCGTTTTAATCACCCTTGGGCCCATGGTATATTTTTTATTACGGGACCCATATGATTTGATTTTAGTTTTCAAATTATAGCATACTTGAAATATAAATAGTTACATGCGACCAGCGGTCACCGTAGTCGACACATTTTCTGTGATAGTCGACTTTTCCTTCTTGGCGTTAAGCCGGGAAAATTTACTAGAATTTTTCTTGGATGATGGATCATTCTCATCATCCGTGAGTAAATCAAATCGATTTCTCAAATTAATTTATTCAGAAGGGGGGTTAAGAGTTTGCCCCTTTCTTTTGCGTTTAGGTGCCATGGCGGTAGTAAATTTTTATCCAAATCGTCTTCCAAGCAGATTACTATAAGAATCTGAAGGATCGAAGAGGAATTGTCCAAATTTATATCCAAGAAGGATTACCTCGGGTAGGGTCCAAACAAGGATCGAAGAGGAATAAGAGTCGAACAAGGTAGAAAAGTTACAGATATATTGAGAACTGAAAAGTGGTGTTTAAATTTGCTGCAGCTTTAGGTAGTAGTGACAGTTTTTTCAGCAAAAAGCAAATAGATCTAAATGGCAAGAGAGCACGATGCGGACTGTCTTTAGATCATTTATTGCTTGCACTGAGTATCATAATGAATAAGTTTACCAAAGACATCAAGACGATTAGACGGAAACTCGCAATTTTATCACAATTTTTAATAAAGGAAAACGCGCCCATTACTCGATTTTGATGTGAAATGCGCGATAACGAGATAATATTTGAAGCTTCAAATGACGTCAGAACTTCTAAATCAATATTATTGTTGATCTTCATATTTTGAAGTCCTTAGCAACGCAATATTATGAGAGAATATATGATCTTCTAAATAGTTCCTGCTGAATATCTGAAAGACTTCGTATGTATTTTTGCAAAATTAAGGTTACCTCTCACATATTTCACTTTTTCCGGTTTAAGTGCAACGCGTTTAATTGTGTTATGTGGCAGTTGAGCTCGATGCTTGGTTGCCGTTGTTCGTGGTCTTCCACATGGATTGTTAGAGGATCTTCCATCAAATCATGAGATTCCTATAAGCAAACACATTTTGAAATTATTTAAGCATTTGAATGCCCTGTAGACAGGGCATTTAAATTCCTGCTATTTTTCGGTGTGATTAAGGGTGCTCTGTGGGTTGTCCGAGATCCGGTGGCCCGTCGGGGTAGGTGTCCGAGGATTCTAGCTCAGTAGAATCGGTGAAACTTTGTGATATTAGCGTCGTTTAGTTGTTTCTGACGCTTGTCCTCATACCGGCCTCTTTTTACGTTTGGTGTTGGGGGATATAGATATTTTGTTACACACCCATACATTTTTGGTGATGATATGTAATCCCATGATGCTGTACGTATTCATAATTTAGTCGGGAAATTGAGCAACATTTCATTGAGTATGTTCAACTTTAAGATTAATTCTCTAGGACGATTTGGAGATCTTATTATGCCTCTACGATATTTGTTGAATACACATCTTTCGATCTAATCAACAATCAATAAGAAACTAATGATTTTAAATTTGCCCATTACATGACTAGCCCATTTATCCCAAGTATATCTAAAAGTGTACCCCATTATCATACTAGAATCTATGATCGTTTGGATTCGCCTTATAATTTTGACAAAGTTAAATGATATAAATGAAATAGATCATAGCATACTAAAATAAAATGAGCAGAATTCAAACATGTAAAATATGTCTGTATGTCTTGTTGATAGTGACAAGACTTGGCATTGTCCACCGATGATTATTTTGA